TTTACCACAATTAAATAAAAATTTAAAAATCAGTTTCAATAGCCTATTACAAGCCTGTTTCATGTTGGCGGCGGCGCAGATGGGAGGGTGGCCTGGGCTGCCTGCTCTTTCGGAACCGGCAGGCCCGAGGGGCCAGCGGGGGCACTTTGAACACGCTCCGCTCGCCCGGCAGTACATTCCTCCAAGCCCTGCCCCGAGAATCACCGCTCTGACGTTGGAAGTTTACAGGGAGAAGGGCCTGGACGTGTGTGGGGGGTGGGGGCTGCACGTATCCCAGTTGGGGTGCTCCTCCCGCACTACGGTTCTCGGCCCTCCCTGCTTGTTGAAGCACGTGGGGCCAATTACAGCAGAAGCCTTGGAGGAGGATGTGGCCCAAGCGTCTGAATGCTGGTCCAGGTGATTCAAATGCAAGGCCCGGCTCGCAAGCGACTGCCCCACCTGCTGCCCCACCTGCTGCCGCAGTAATGCCTGGTAACGGCCTGTCAGCAGCTCCGTTTTTCAGTGCGAATCCGCAGCGCATCCTTTGCTGTCTAACAAATGTAAACCTGCTGGTGGTTTCCCTGCTCACTCCTTCAGTTACATTAGTGGTTAAAACACACACACACACACACACACACACTACATTTTTCTCACACCACACTGAATTCAAAACAGAACAAAAACCTCACAACATGAATCTTTAAAGTGAATTTACATTTTTGTTAAGTATAAATGATAGAGAAGTCCTTTCTGCCATGAATTTCTTCTGTTTGTCCACATAACTGGGGTCTGTGGTGCTGAAAGGATTTTTCTGGAAAATAAACTGGAGTGTGCCTCCACAAATAAAGCAGGATAAACTAAAAGGAGCAAATCTGGTAAATCCAACTTTTCTGAAAGGAGGCTGAGAGGCTGGGTACTGAGAACTTGTAAATGTCAAATGCTTTTCTTTTTTTTTTTTTTTGCACTTTCTTTACAAACAAAACCAGAAAAATAACCAAATATGGTTTGTGCAGAAGAATAACCTAGACAAAATATTTCCAGTCTTTCTACTCAATGCTAATCTGGAGCACACATTCTTTATTTCATTCTAAATGCTAAGTTTAAACAGTATGTTTGCTTGTGTGTGACTAGACTCTTCCCAATAAAGCCTTCTGTTTTATAGACATGCAGAATGTAGCATTACAGAAAAGAGATCGAGAATTCCATGGACCTTATTGTATCTTATTCTTTGTCCTGTGTACTCATGCATTCACTCAATAAAACTCACTGAAGTTCCACCACGTGCCAAAAAAGACATGAAGGTGGCTTGGCCTAGGGTGGTGGCAGCCTGCCTACAGAAAAGTAGGTGGACTAATGAGCTACTTAGGAAGCAGAACCTGACCGGCCTTGAACGTGGGGAGCAGCCAAGGATGACTCTGACCCTGGGTTTGTATCCGAGGCAACCAGTGGGCGGGGCAGGGAACACAGCAGGTGAAGGTGGGGGAGGGAAAGAGGGAGGTTTTTCTATCTTTGTTCAAGAAAGTGCTGGGTGGGTTTCAGGAGTCAAGGACTCCTAAAATCAGGGAACAATTTGTATGAATGTTTGACATTTATTTAAAATAGATTGTGACCACCCAAAAGGTTAGGGATCACTTATTCATAGAGAACTTGGAAGTCCTTAAACATTCCATTCATGTCAAACAGATGGTTCTGCCACGTTGCTCAAGCACACGGTCTTTAACGGGGCTGTCTCCAGAGTAGCCCGTGTTTATGATCTGCTCCAAGGTCAAGGTAGTTAGTACCAGAGAGCGTGAATTTCCTTCAACCTAGCTGAGAGGCTTAATAAAAACTCCACAGAGCTCTAGGTTGGACACCATAAACTGATTTCTACAAAATGCTGAATGGCTCTGTAAGTCTGAAAAGATGCTAAGCAAAGCCAGGACAGAATGCAGGCTTACTGATACATGTGTGACATTTGCTACAACTGATTTTGCTCTTACTGTAAATTCACCATTTTTCTCTTAAATCAAGATTTTGAGGCAACTTGACTGAGCCTCATGAATCCTGGTCAAGTCAACTGTAGGACCAATTCCAAGTAGAAACTAGATTAAAAAACAAAAAGTTTTGGTGGACTTATGTTTCTGAATCTAAAAAGTTTAGCAAATATAAATCTGCACAAATTGCAGGAAAAGTTGTGAAAAACCCATTCTGTCTACTTGATCCACGGCCTACCACGTGAGAGGTAAAAGGATGTTACCGCGTAATTACAGCCAAATGTTCCACCCTTCCACTCTCGGTTTGTTTCACCGCCCTAGTCCAGATCAGTACGGGAACGCTGTGACTTTCAAAACTCAGAAGAGGAAGGATAAACCTTTGGCTCTGGCCCATATCACGTACATTCGCTTGAGTTTCCTCCTCCTCAGCAAAGCGGAAACAGGCGTCCACTAAGAGGAAGGTGTCGTGAGAAGGGAATAGGGAACTTCCTGGGGGGTATACTTCGCCTAAGAGTATCCCAAATGGTACACAGTCTTATTCAACAGACAGGCATTTCCACACGTGCAGTATAAGGAAAGGGTGTCCCTCCGAACACGAGGAACGACACCACATGAACAGGATGCCTTGTCCAGAAGTCATTTCTCTAGCAAGAAATGACCTGAGCTGTCTTTGGTTTAGAGCCCAGGGGAATGACAGGTGAAGGAAAAGTTGGCACCAAACATCACCCAAGAGGAGTTTGAGAACCCCCTGGAGACAGTGGGCTGTGGGCAGAACTAGTGCAGCACAGGCTCTGAACGTGGCTTCAGAAGTCCGGCCAGTGCAGCCACAAGACAGGACTAGCGTGGTATTCAGTGTGGGGGGCAGGCGGGGCAGAGAGTTTAAGAAACTGGAAGGTGGCTGATAAGGGTTCGATATGTTTCTATAGACACGAGAAAGAAAACAAGTCTTTGAAATGTGTTGTCAGATACTTAAGAAATAGCTCCAGTGCAAATTAATTTCCAATTGCATAGAATAAATGTGTTTATCTACAATACAACAAGGGTTTACAAAGGCCACAGTACTTTAAGAATAAGGAGATTGTGCCAAAAACAAAGACAAATACTTTAGTCAAGAGGAACATCAAATTTGTTTTTATAACGACACTAGGAAATCTTGTATTTTACTCTAGTTCTTTTACTCTAGTCACATATTTAAGTGAAATTTTCATTCCTAAAGAATCATTGCAACAAAAACTAATTATGAAAAAAAACTAGACACTTTTGACAAAGCAAATTCCATCTTCATAAATATTTAAATACATTAAGCAAAATGCTGTTACAGACTCCAAAAACAAGGCTAATCACAATCCCTTGGTCTGAGTAACCACCCATTAGTGCTGTAACGAAAGGACAGAGTAGTGATTCACAAATTTGGCTTTCTCATCAAATTACTTATCTAAATTGCACCAAGAAGAGTCAAGTAAACACTCTCATACCATTTTCCATAAATTAAAAAAACTTTTTTTAATCCTCAGCTGAAGACATTTTTTTCATTGCTTTTCTTAGAGAGAGAGGAAGGGAGAGAGAGAAACTTGGATGCGAGAGAGAAGCACCAATCGGTTGCTTCCCGCACACGCCCGGACTGGGGATCAAACCCGCACCCTAGGTACGTGCCCCGACTGGGGAGCGAACCTGAAACTTTTGGGATGGCCTTCCAACCAACTGAGCCACATCAGCCAGGGCTAAAAAATAAAAATAAAAAAGATTGACAGAAATATAAAACAAAATTTAAAATAAAACAGAAAGCTGAAAGCATTTCCTGAAAACTATGTTTATATCCAGAAAAATCAGCTCTGAATCAATCCTCTACTCAGTTTAGGGTGGATCAAAGAATTCCCCGGGAAGAGCGGCACACAGGCCGGTCACGGGGCTAAGGGTCGGAGCAGTGCCTGACCGAGGAGTCAGAGCAACTTCTGTCCACGTGCGCACAACCAGCGGAGTTTACGGGTCCCGGCTCCAACAGGCCAGTGACAGCCGAAACTTCGGGGGTCGGCAGGTGACTGGCTAACCACATCGGACACAGGATCCGAATGGGCTATAAGAAATGAAATCTTTTAAATGTCTTAGTAATGGCTTCACAGATTATGAATAACGCAGTCTGTGGCGCCGTCTCTATAAATGAGATGAATTTAAGTCTGAAAAGACATGGGAAGTTTGCTGGAAAAGCCTTGCTACAGAGTACGAATGTTAACAGGAAGCCTCGGGAAGATGGCTCTGTAAGATGCTGGTTCCTCATCCCTGACAATCCCCCCTTTCGGGTTCTTCAGTGGAACTGGCCCACTGTGATTTAAACCACCCAGGTGCAACACGACGAGCTCTGTGACTCAGTCCCCCTGCAGAGCCAGGGGTGTGCTCTGCTAACAGAACCTTTTTCTTCTCCACGTACCTGCCTACCGCACACTATGTCTTCTGGCTTCCCACCATTTCAGCTCCCTGAGACAGCTGCAGTACTTTCCCGTGGAAAGGGCAGGGAGCTCGAAGTCAGCAGACACGGGGATTTAAGCTGTGTGACAGGAAGCAAGTCAGTCTTTCTAGGCTCCACATTTCCTCGACTAAGGTCCCTTCTGGATCAAATCTCTGTAATTCTAAGTCTCTAGGTTAGACATAGTCCGACTGAAGCCGAAGCCTCTTTCATCCCCAGGCTTGGGGTGCGCAAGGGGCGCCTCGAATGTGTGGGAGCTGGGGGAGGCCCGTGGCGTGGCGGCTGCAGCTGGGACGGCCCCTCTTTGGACAGCCCGTGGTGGGTTCAGAAGGAAGGGGGGCGCTGGCTCCAAGCCACTCCCTCTCCCACCCCTGAAGAGCAAATACCACGGATCTCACCTGTAAGTGGAACCTAATCACCCAAACAAATAAGCAAGAAAAGTAGATCCAGACACTGAAATTAAGAACAAACTGACAGTCACCAGAGGGGAGGGGGGAGGGGCTGATGTGGGGGAGGGGAGGGGGTTTCAGGACTCTGGACAAAACCAGGGCGGGGTGGAATCAGGGGAAGGAGGTAGGGATGGCTGGGGTGGGGGGGTAAATGCAAGTAACTGTACTTGAACAACAATAAAACAATGAAAAAAAAAAGAGAGCTTACAACCAGGAACTGCCTGTGTGTTCTCAGCCCCCTTCCCTGTGCCGCACCTCAGGCTCCGGCTCCCAGCCACCACTTCCCGGGGACCTCGGTTACTCCTAGCAGGGTCTCAGCACCGGAAGTGTAGGAAGGGGGGCGTTCTAGGTTCAGCAGATGTCGGCCCATCTTCTAAGAATAAAGTGTAATTTAACTCTAAACCACACAGCATCTACCTATCTTTTGAACATTTCTTTTTGCTGTTCCAGCCCATATACAAAGATCTAATCACTCGTTTTCAAATAACCTACTGAATTCGTTTGATGCTGTAACTACCACACAAAGCCCGCCTTTGGGGGGAAGGTGAGCAAACAGATGGGCAGGCCGGCTCTCCTAGTCGCAGCCAGGTGGTCAACTGCACACACATCTCCCAAAGGCCCGTTCTTACTCTGCTAACTCAAACGGGGGGTTAACTATCAATCACTAAGTAGTGTGTTAACAGATATTCAGCGTGAGGTGGCTCTGTCTGACTCCCTGAGTGAGTCTCCTCTATCGGGCCTTTTGCAAATGGCTAGGACTCTACGACAGAGCCTCACACAGGGATCCCATAAGCCCTCTCACTGGCAAGGTGGGAACTCCGTCGCTGTCAGGGGACCGGACACCGGCAGAGTGCCCATGGGCAGCTGAGCGCTATTACCGGGCGGATCACAACTTGACCTGCTAAATATATAAAACTGCTTCTACCAGCTTCGTCCACTGTGTCGCATGCACTATTTAACTGTCAGAATTGACCGTTTATTGACCCTCCATGGAACTCATCCAATGTCCTCTCCAGTAAAAATACCTGATATAAAATCACCAAAAACTCCAAATGAGAACCTGTCCTTTCTTTTGGGTCAACGATCAGTGATGTTTCTAGATACATTTTTTTTTTGGTCAGTTGGTAGATCATCATTCTTAGAGATAATTGGAATTAGAAGTCAATCTAGATTTTTAAATTTTATTGCATTACATGTTTTCTCTAAGGGTTTTAAACCAAAAACTATCAGTATTTAGACTCCGGGTTTAACTTTGTTTCATGATTACTTCTAAGACAGATGTCTCACCAGTAAGATTTGAAATTTAAATGCACTCTGATGGCCACTCTCATCTCGCTCCCTTCCTCATGGACATTGTGCTGGTTACGTAGTTGAGAAGGGAAGAAGCGAGACTCCCCGCTGTAGAAGGAGAGAACGAGCTCGGGGCAGCCCCCCGTTCAGCTCGGAAGCGGGCGGCCGCAGCAGAGCGGCAGGAAAGGCCAGGCCCTGGTTACACGCGGCGGCCAGCAATTTGCACTTCCTTCTCCGCCTCTGTGCCTAAGAAGCGCTTCTGTGTTAGGTTTTTAAATTTGGGGGGCAAGTCTGGGACTTTACCACAGATAAATTAATATCACTTACATTGTTTAATTTCACCTTGCAGGTTTTTCTTTTCTCTACATGGTTTGCACCATGAGCTGAACAGAATGTCACATAAGATGTCACCCAACTGGACTGCAGAGAACAGGACGTTACAGAAACGCTTACACGTGCGGCCGAACTGCGGCTGCGCGAAGGCTCCCGGGACCGGTGAGGACCGCAGAGACGGCGCAGCTGGGTTTCAACAACCCGTCTCTATTTTGTTTAGTAATAAAAATTCTCCCGGGAATTGCCTGATACTGAGAGACAGCTTTATTATTTTTACTGTAAAAGTATGTATATGCCCAAAACTTCAGGTGTAGATTTCCTGGCTGATCCCAGAACTTCCAAGAAATAATCATGGTGAGAATTCAAGCCCTGAATTCTTTCTCTGAGATACAAGATCTCAAATAGAAAACGCAGCTTTAAAAATTCAGACATCCTTTTTCTGGAAATAGGGATATGAGGTCATTTTTATCTTACTCAGTATGGATCACAAAACATAGGTTTTTTAAGTTCTCATTTATCAGTCATGATAGGCACAAGACAAACATGTATAGCAACATAAAAAACAAAAAGAGCTCTGTTAACTACATTAAAGGTGAACAAAACTATACAGAATAAGAATCACTGTCAATAAAAAGTTTAGATGAACAAGAAAACCCAGCACTTGCACAACAAAGGTGACACACAGCCACACAGCGAGAGAAGGCCCCCGCTTCCCGCCCTCAGGCCTCCATCCCCTTCACGCTGGGGTACCAGTGCAGGAAGCTCCTGGACGTGGCCAGGCGGGCAGCCGCCCCTAAGGCGGCCGTGGCCGTGCTGCGAGGGATGTAGAACCTCTGAGGAATCTGGTGCTCGGGAGACAAAATCAGAGAGAGCTGGTCCATGGCTCCACGGCTCTTATCCGTGAACACCGTGAGGGCGTGGCTGCTAGAGAGGTCTTCGTTCTTCAGGCTCTCGGGGGAGCTTTCCACTGAAAGAGAGAGAGCGAGCACAGGCCTGTTGCTCGAAACTACACGAAAACTACAACACTGCGGAAACTGAAGAAGACTAAAATGCATGGGGAGACGGGTCATACTCATAGATCAGAGGACTGTTAAAAACCCCAGTAAAAATTTTAGCAGGCTTTGTGTAGAAGTTAGGTTAAATCTAAAATTCATACGAAAATGACCTAGAATGTGAAAAAAGAACCAAGTGGTATGATTTCAAGATTTCTCCCACAGCCACAGGGACCGACACGGTGGTGTGATGAAGACACGCAGGCCAGCAGAACAGAGCTGAACGCCCAGAGATCAGTCCTCACATACGTGGCCTACTGATTCTGACACAGATACAGGAAGTTTCATGGAAAAAGGATATTCTTTTCAACAAATGGAGGTGTAATAAATGAATATTTATAAGCAGGCTGAATAAACATTGATCCTTATATCACACTATATTACAAAAAGCAACGAACTGGATCACAGACCCAAATGTAAGACCTAAAACTGTAGAACTTTTCTAAGAAAGGTAAGGACAAATCTTACTTGGGTTAGGGAAGATTTCAACACAGGACACAAAAAGCTCAAAACTGTAAAGAAAAAATAAATTCAACAAATCCTACTTCATCCAAATGAACATGTTTGCTCTCCAAAAGATGCTAATGAGGAAATGAAAAGGCAAGCCATGAACTGGGGTAAAATATTTGCAATATTGCATCTGTCAAAGGATTTGTGTCCATAGTTTTTTACAAATCACTAAAAAGAAGGCGGTCCAATAGAAGTGAGCCAGTACTTGAACAGGTGATTCACTACAGCAGATACAGAGACAGCACATGAAAAGATGGTCAACATCACTGGCGAATAGGGAAATGTGAATTAAAACCACAGTGAGACACCACTAACACCCACCAGAAATGTAAAAAAAGACGGTCCACATCACGCGCTGGCAAGGGTGTGGGGCGACTGGCTGCCGGTATAAACACAAAATGGTACGGCCACTTCGGAAAACGTCTGGGCAGTTCTTAAAATGTTAAACTTGCAGCGACCCTATGGCCCTCCAATTCTATCCTAAATATATATGGGAAAGAAATAAAAAACATTATGTCTACTCAGAGAGCTGTATGTGAATGCATGTTCACAGCAGCTTACTCATAAGGGCAGAAATCCCGAAACCACGCAGGTGGCCCTCGTCTGGGGATCAAACCGACTGCGGGGTCTCCGCACACCTGGGTACCAGGCAGGGGTGAACGGGAACGCACTTTCGGTACTGGCTACAACTTGAACGAATCTCTAAAATAATTGTGCTAAGTGAGACACTTCGCTGTCTTCTTCACACATAAAAACGACACACTCCATGACTCCCTCGATGCGCAAGTCTGGAAAGGAAGAGTAACACGCGGAGGCCAGCGAGCGGGCGGAGGGACCACCGCGCAGGAACGCGACAAGACTGCGCGAGGGACGGAAACGGCCTGCACCGTGCACCGGGCCTGCACCGTGCACCGTGCGTGCGGGGTGGTTATGCGCCCCGCGTGCGTTTGTCAGCACTCGCGGAACACTGTGCACTCAAGTCTGGCGAGTTCTTCTGCACTCGCCAGACTTGCCAGACTCGCCAGACTTCTCGCCAGACTTGCCAGACTCGCCAGACTTCTTAAGCCCGGTACCTGCCCAAACTGCAGGAAAGAAAGAAGAGCGGCGGAGTGAGAGGGAGCACGGACCCCTAGGACTGGAGGCAAACGCCTGAGTCGGCATTTCCCGAAGTGCGTCCTGAAGGAGAGGAGGTTTCCGGCCAGGCGGCGAGCCACCGGGCGTGTCCCCTGTATGAAAGCCTACCTGAACCGGAGCGCCTTTCTGGGGGACCGACCGCGGGGGGAGCTGCATCCAGGGCCGCTGCGGAGCGCGGAACCGGCCCCGGCTGCCTCTGGGCCCCGGGAGGCTCGCCCTGGCTCCCGGCGGCGGCCGGCTGCTGGGACTGGACGAGAGACACGTAGAACTCCTCCAGCTCGGGCAACGCGGAGGGATCGGAAGAACCTTCCAAGTGTGACTGCTGCAGAACGGGGGAAAATGAGGCAAAAGCATGAAAAGTAACTGTTACTATAACGGAAGAATGAAGCTTGTTTTTCCTGCCCTTACTTAGAAACAAAAGACAAATATTTTTATATCATAAATAAATCTCACTTTTAGGAACTGAAATAATCTCTAGATAACCAAGTCCACTAATCTAGTGACGATCAATTCAATGCATAAAACACTTACTGAACACACACCCCGGGCAAACACGGTACCTACCACGCGTTGCCGGGCAGACTAAGGGAGGCTGGCAGGGAAGGAGAGCCCACCCCCTGCCCCCAGCACTCCCTCAGGCTCACGGCTAGCTTGCTTGCATGTGTTTCTGCATTTCGACATCAGAACGACCACTTTTTGGTTAGGCGTTCTGGTTTTGTATTACTGCTTCTTTCCCTTAGTAAGTGCTTTTTACAGAGAGATGGAGCAAGCCATTCAATGTCAATCAATAAGTGACAAGGCAGAGATATGGACTCGGTCCAGCCTATGCTCTCGGCCCCCCAGGAAGACAGGATCTGGGTCCCTAAGGAGCTCACAGGCCTCGGTTAGGGAGGCAGGGGACACGCTGCAGCTGGCCACTGGGCCAGGCCTTAGCTGCAACACAAAGGAGCGAACGAAGGCTCCTCAGAGGTGACACAACGGAGTATTAAAGGCCATGGCGTGAGAGAAAAAGACAAATGTCCCAAACAGAGGCTGAATCTGGGCGAAGCGAAAGGAGCGCCAAATTTAACACATGGAAGGACGGGCAGGAGCCTGGCAGTCAGGTGTCACGGTTCACACAAACTGTCCTGCTGTTTGCAGGTCGCTCACGATGCAGCTGAGAAGCAAGGAACAAACGCATTCTGTTCCAGTTAGTGCGTCTGCCGCCACCAACAGAAGAGAAGAAAACAGGCCTCGATGATGGGACAGATGCAGAGCTTAAAACTTAGAGCCAAGGTATACAAAACACCTGTTTATCCCTAACACAGATGTGTAATCAATCTTTCCATTTTAGGCTCAAGATTTTCTTCTGAAGAGATGAATGACTGTATAAGGTTCACTGAAATTTTAAAACCAACATACATTGTACGTCCATGCATTCTACGAAATGGCAAGGGAGAGGTCTTAACCAGACTTTTACTTTAGAAACAATGAAAGCGCTTCCTCGCGCATATCTGTGAAAATAACATCCCTTCGGCACTTACCTTTGGAACCCTGGGCGCCCCGGCACTTTTTTCCTGAGCACCCCGTCCTTCCGGCTCTTGGACTTTGACTTGCGTTCCATTCTCAAGGCCTAAAGGCTGACATGAATCATCCCATACATCTTGTGTAGAAAAACACCAATCCTACAGACAGAACATGGCAACAATAAGCGGAGACAGAGTGCCACACAGAGGATAACCTGGGCAAGGGAAGGCAAGGAGGAGATGCACGTGAGACCAGAAAAGGTATTCATTAACCTTCTGTATCAGTGTGACTCTTCCTCCTTACGTTCCCGAGCCATACCCTCGTTCCCGAGGCACCCCAAATTCCTGTGAACACAACACATCCCATAAAAACAAATATGACTTATTTGCAGTATTTTCTTCAATAGTGTTTTCATGGCTAGATGATTTTCCTGCTCATCTAGTATTGAAATGGCATAAATTATAAGGAGCACCTTAACTGCAGACATGTCTTTTTCATAACCACTGGGATTATTAAAAAAATTTATATTACTTAATTAAAATTTACATATACTCATGTAGTTAGGACCAATATTAGCAAATGTCCTCACTGCAGAGATCCAGAGGTTATATTGCAAGATGAAAGCAACAGAAATGCAATCAGGGAAAACAGTTTGTCTATAGACCCTGAGGCCCAGACCAGGTGCCGAAGATGCAACACAGTAACTACTGAAGATGCAACACAAACCGTAATGACCGGACTGAGCGGGTCGGAGGGGCACCAAGAGCCCACGACTTCTTCATCCCTGCTTCACCCTGTCCCTCCCTGCCACTACTATCTCAGGAAGAAAACATGCATTTTTCTGAATTATCTTCTGATAAATGACTTGGAATTCCAGAATATGTAGCTTTCTTGAGGTGTGGACAATTTCGTTTACATTTCTTTTTTTTAGCAGTGATTTATTTGCATTCTGTTTCTCAGGATCTAACCTTCTCTGGCGTTTCTTCACGTGACCGGTATGGCTTCTCTCCACCGCGGCTGGAGGTAAGTAAGTGGGGGGCAGCGTCACCTCCTGGTCCCATTTTAGCGTGCACGGGCAGCCAGTTCTCATCCCAGACATCATCGCCTATGGTCACCGACTCCAAGCACGGCATTCCGGTGGGGATCTCGTCCTAGAAGGTATCAGAGCACAAGCATTCTAGTTCCTGTAATGAGCACATTTTACAATTCAGGGTTGTCATTTTCTCTTGACTCCAGGCAAAGATGGCAGTTTGAATGCACAATTTCTTACTCCCCCTCTCCTGAAAGATCGCCAAAATAAAATAGAAAGATTTAAGGTATAAACTCGTGGTCAAAGAGAACAGAGGATAAGAAAACACCATCTGCATTTTGGACACAGGAAGCAGAAGGGATGGCTGGTCAAGCAGTCCTGAGAAAGTGGGATCCTAAGCTTGTGGTGGGAAAAATGAGAAGAACCCAAATATACACCGCTGATACCACAGAAGTGCAGAAACTGGTACACAAGGTTTCTGGAATGAGGGGTCAGGTGGAAATTGAGACAAAAGCACTGATTGAAAGTCTGAGTAGGAAGCCGTTAGATCCAAACAAAACTGAAATGGACTCACAGACACAGAGTGGACAAGTGGTTGCCAGAGGGGGTGGGCATGGGGTGAACTGGGTGGAAAAGCTGAAGGGATTAAGACGTATGGACTGGAAGTTACAGAACAGTCACGGAGATGTCAAGGGCAGCGTAGGGAACAGAGGCAATGCTATGGCAGTAAATATGTGCGGTGCCAGGTGGGTACTGGAAGTATCCGGGGAAACACTGTAAAGTGCATGACTGCCTGATCACTATGCTCTACACCTGAAATCAATAAAAAATAATAATGAAAGTAAACTGTAATTGAAAAATAATGCCCTGGCTGGTGTGGCTCAGTGGATTAAGTGCCGGCCTGTGAACCAAAGGGTTGCTGGTTCGATTCCCAGTCAGGGCACATGCCTGGGTTGTGGGCCAGGTCCCCAGTAGGGGGCGTGCGAGAGGCTCATATTGATGTTTCTTTCCCTCTCTTTCTCCCTGGCTTCCCCTCTGTATAGAATAAATAAAATCTTTGTAAAAAGAAAAATAAAAATTAAAAATGCAAAAAAAACCCCCCAAAACAAAAACAAAAAACAGCAGCAGCAGCTAGATCACCAGATTCCCCACCCTGCTGCCCCATCGCAAGGACCCAGGAAACTGTACATCCTCCTTCTCTTGAAAGACCAGGGGGTCTTCTTGAGGTAAAATCGAGGGGGAGCACAAAACGATCCATGTGCTACCGCTGACAGGACAGTACACCAGAAGGAAGTCACCTATACTGTATGCTGAGTTAAAAAGAAACATTAACACTAAAGAAATAAAAGTTAGGCAGGGAAGGAAAAGCCGCGGTAACATACTGCTTCGCTGTGAAGGGCACTCAGAGTCCCGATAACACCGACACTGAACAGTGAGCTAATGGGAAGTCCAAAAACCAAACTGGTGACAGGGTCGGGGGGGTGACAAAAAGGATGTTTGTGTGTGGTGGGGGGGAGTCCATACATACATACTTAAAACTGAAAAATGAAGAAGTCGCAACATAAGCTGTTATTTTAATGAAAGAAACAGAAGTCAATTCCAAAAGCAGTAGTAGCTAAGAGAGACGGAAACGACTGCTCTGTGAGACAGGAAACGCAGGGGAAGGAGTTATGGGGGGTCCTAGGCTACGTGCACATAAGCATTTAATTAAAATAAAAACGTGTCCTCTAGAAAAGTGGTCAATATTTTTCCCGATGGACTTTCCTCACACTGTCTCTCAAAACTAGCTTCTGATCACTGCATGATTCTCGAAGACGGCCCAGAGCGATGGGACAGCGACCAACGCTCCAAGGCCAGAGGGCGCCCTCGGTGTTTTGTGACGGAGGCTCTGCTGCCCCTGCTCGCTGCCTCGCCTGCGGGCGGTGCTCCGACCGCACTGAAGGCAGCAGCGGTTACCGGGCTCGTCCACCCCTGCCCCCTTCACGTACAGAGTATTTGGACCGTGTTGATTACATTTTTAAAGAACCGTCTTTCCTCCTCTCACCTCAGTCTCTCCCTTCAGACCCTTTAGCTCTGGGACGGAGCGCTTGGCACCTTCCTTCCAGCTCTTATCTTGGGCTTTCAAAGAGCTGAATTCCGAGTCCTTTAATGGCTTCTCTGACTCATACTTAAGGTCAATGACAGCCTTTTCATCATTAATATCCTGCCAGTAGATACGAAAAATAAGTTATTGTATTTTTATACTAATGATGTTGCCAAACTCTATAAGCCAATATTTGGGGGGGGGGGGTGGATTTTTGACAATTGCTACCTTATTTCCTAACTTTATCCATGACCCTCAGTCTTCTTCTCCTGCTAGGCTAGTTCAGACCAACAAGCATCTACTGAGCACATATTGTGCAAGGTGTGCAGGGTGGCGCTGGGAGTTTAAATACGAGTGCAACGGGTCCCAGCTCCAGAACTCACACGAGTAGCAGGAAGACACACCTCCAGGTAACCATAGCACAACCGTCAGTGCAGGGCCCTCACAGAGCAGCACCAAACTAGCGCCAGGGGAGAGGGGCGTTCTGAGAAGACGCAATGGAGGATTTAACGCCAACGGCTGGGATGCTTAAAAGAAGAGCAGGAAGCCCAGGGAATGAGGTGGGCAGAGGCCGGGGTGTGCGTATAGCGTATGCGAGTCTTCGTGTGTTGTTAAAATGCAGGCTGCATAAAATAGGGGAGTGTTAAGATGTGTCTCTTTGGCAAAAAGATGGCCTTATTTCATTTCTAGGATTGAACCATGGTTGTTTGAAGACATCAACAGAGTGACAACAGGATATTCTAAAAATTTTAAAGGTTGAATTCAATTCACTGTTTACGAATCAGGAAATATAACTGTTCTAATCAAGTGATAATGACTAAGAGGAAATCAGGCTTCAGAAAGCCAAACAAGGCCCAATCCATTGTAACCTAAACGGGACATCGAAAACCCTTACACCGCTTTGAACGTGCTGCAGTGGTCTCCCAGCAGTCAGTATGGCCTTCCTTCTCCTTCTCTAATAACTAGTAAGCGTCTACTAACACAGTGCAATCGTATCAATAATTTTTAAAGTCACACACATAAAACACACTTAAACAAAATAATATTTTGTATCCTTATCGTGTCCAAAGAAACCACTTTTTTGGCTCTCCTACTGAACACGCCCTATGTTCTCGGCCCAGTACTCGCTGTCGCGAAGGAATATAAGATTCAAAGGACATGATTATCCGGTCACTGGTTAGCAACATCACCCACTTCTTACTATGTGCTCCACCTAAGGTGGGGGTAGGAAAGCACCGACCTGGTAAAGTGACTGTGCAGATAAATGAAGTAGGACATGTGAGTGCTTATGACAGTGCCTGCCACACAGCATGAATCTATTTTTATTATTGCTGCTGGGATAATAATAATGATGATGGTGATGTGTTTATTGCTGCAAGTGGGAGCATTTAGGCTGGCGCAGGGGAAGTCACAACGGCACAGAGGCGGCCATGGACTTGGGTGCATGGGAATTCGTACAGCAGGGAGCGTGACTAGGGAGGTTCCAACCAGCAGTTAACGGGAGAGCTCGGTAACTACAAAAATCACTTCCTAGGTTGGGAAAGCCTCAGTTTCCTCATCTATAAGATGAAGATAATTATGGTAACTATGTCACAGGGATTTTATGAAGATTAAATAATATATCATACTTTAAGTTCTATTTACAGTGTTTGGCATATAGTAACCCCTAATTAAATGTTAACCATAAAAAGAATTCTAATCATATTTGCAAAAACCTATTACCAGAGTGTATAAATCGCTCTCTTTTGACTGCGGACTTATCTCCTGGACTTCCTTAAAGTAGTGGTGCTGGGAAGGGCAGACCCGTTCTGTCAAGACTGCATCCTCCGGCCCCCCGCTGGACTTCGTGTACAAAGCCAAAGGGTTGAGTTCGCTGAAACCCTAGGAGAAAATAAAGAAGGGAGGGTTTAATTTCTCAGAGAAAGGTGAAAAAGTTAGCACTTCATAATTTTTAAATGTTGAAGAAATGTATTATCTTCTAAAATTTAACAGTAAAAAAATTTTGATACTGAAAAGTTCTTTCTAGTCACAAAAATTATCAGCATCAATATTAACAGTGATGCAGCCACTGCTATCAATAATTGCAAAATAAGAGAGTCGTCTTCTTTTCTAAGAATACCCGAGAGAATTCGATACTTTGGGGTGAATTCTCAACCAATTCTTTAAAATAGAAGTATTCACGGTCTAAAGGACAGTAAGCCAAACAGTTTTTTAAGGTCACTAAAAATGAGGGGAGTGCTCAGTGTTAAGATGGCAGGACTCTCGCAGGTACCTCTAGGATCAAAGAATGAATCGGATAACATTCTGCGTTCAGTTCTCTTCCTGAAGAGCTGAGATTAAATAAAACATATTGCAGAAGACCCCCAGACTGCCCCACCTTAGAAGGGACGTTTTCTCGGCACACAATAGCATGGCCCTCTGCTCTCAGGACATGGTGGAAATAGACGTCTTCGTTTGAGGACGTGTCGCACAGGAAGATGTTCAGGATCCCATCGATGTATTCGTCCACGACCCCCACCAACGGCTTCAAACCACACAACTTCTGGAACTGCAGAACAGCGGTGGACGTCCAATATCCCTGAAGTATAACCAAGACAGGAGAGCCACGTGATGAACTGAAACATGAACTACAGTAACTATGTGCAAAAATGAATTCCTGATGAACTAGAGGAAATAGTGGTGGGAAAACAAAACCATAAAAATACTAGACCACCACACTGGGGGACACTCATGATCTCTGTTCTTTTTGATCTGGGAGGGCATCAGAGCCAAGGCTCAAATCTGCCCTGACAAGCAGACACCTGCAGAGCAGAAACAGTTCCCCCTTTCCCTTTAATTCTGGCTTGGTAATTTGTTCCTCTCTTCATTGTTTTTTTGATACCTTTGGACACACTTTAAAAATATTTTATCAAGAATTCTTAGTTATTCCTGAAAGAGAACTAGTCTAGTAATCCTACTGAATCCTATCCGAAAATGCAAGTTTTTCACCACGTAAAAATATAAATTTTTTCTACAACCACATTTTCAATAAATTTTCCTTCATCCTGAGCACGAACATGGATCCCCCCTCAGGTTCCCGTCTATCCCTCTGGTGACATCCGTCCTGCTCCAGCTCATCTTATGTCACGGAGCCAAACGGAGCCGCTTCAGGCTCCTCAGGCTGGAGGTGTCTCATGCTGCTCTCCTTTTGCCCAGAGTGTCTTCTCGTTTGTGCCCTGTTGTTGTGATCATTTTCCCTCAAAGCTCCGTTCACACACCACCTCCACTACGGGGCCTTCCGTGATTACCTCGAACGGAGAGGAGTGCTCTTTCTTGCTCACCTCCACCACACACAGTGTCACAACCCAGACAAGTACGCCACGGCACAACCACGTCTGTCCGAGTGTCTGCGTGTCTGCCCTCCCTGTTGTCTACCGTGATTTCTGGGAGGGTCCACCCCATGTTCTACTTTCGTACCCTGAGGACCCTGAACTGTTCCGGGCATCGAGCGTTTTCTGGTTAAGGGAAAAGAAGCACACACACCTCTGTTGGTCTCACCCAAGCCAAAGAGCAAGGGATAGCCTGAGCTGGAAGCTTTGTGTAGCAGCACCTGCAACAGATCATTGAATACATGAACATTCAGCCATATTTTTAAACTGCATGTTATGGAGTTTCTAACTCATTTCTTGATTTTAGCTACTCACACCATTTCAGAATATTTTGGTCATGTATTTTAAATTAATGTCTCAACACTTTAAGCCATCTAAAGAGAAAATGAGTAGTTTTTGAAAACCATGCTGTTAAAATATAGGCAGGAAGACTGTAAGCTTCATGCTATATCAATGCAACTCGTAGCATAACCCAAAGAAACCTTTTCTTAATGGGAGGCTGAAGTTTAGTCTCACAGTCCGTTTCAGACTCACAGTCACGTGAAAGGAGACAGAAGCGATTACAACCCACGTGCGAAACTCAAGGACCGTCCGCCGAGTCTGCACCGAGAACAACAAGGGGTGGTGAGGGGGGCAGGACAGAGGGAGGCAGGCAAGAGGAGAGGACGAGATCCTAACCCCACGGAGCTTCGGCATTATCCTTCAAGACATAAGCTGTCCTTCTTAACTCTGTGAACTCACTTGAGGAACCTCAGGGAGGACTTCTGGACAGTTCCAATGTTGCCGAAGTCGGGGTAGAACACTTCCACTTCCTGCTTCCCGAGGACGCGATGGATAACGACCCGATACCACCACTTGTCCTCAGAGATCCTCACACAACAGAGGTGCCCGGGGCGGATGAAGTGCTCTGGCATGACGTAGCGGTCGGACACCAGCTGGTTAGAGTAGCAGCGCCTGTGGGATTCCATAATATGGAAAGCCATAGGGGAGGAAAAATTAAAGATCGTTTTTATTGATGTATCAAAAGCAAGAAAGTCTGGGCAAAAAGCAAAAAAATAAATAAATAAATAAAATAAAATCCTCACTTTTTCTGATTTGTTAATGCTTATTAGTACCAATTAATTTTATTTTCCCTTTTCTTATCCAAGTCCCTTCTCTTCATCAACAATTGTTTTAAAATAGACACTTACATACTCATTTTATCTCAAATTCTCTGCAGTCCGGCTTCATTCCCCAGAACTTCCTGAAGTGGACGTTTTACTTAAAGACGCCAATGGTTTGTTGATTCCCGAATCCAACAGCCCGTCTCCTCGGCTGTCAGTACACTCGCCCCCTCTGCAGGATGACCCCGGGGAGGCCCTGTCCTCTTTCCCATTCCGTCCTCCTCGGATCCCAAGACACTCTTTTCTCCTATTACTGCCTGCCCATAACTATGCCTCTACTGGCTCTGTAACCACCTCAAAAGTCTGGTTCTCTGGGGTCTCGTCTTCAGGAGGCACAACAAGCGAGGAGCTCAGGCTGTAAAACCAGGAACCTGGCCTCACGTCCCGACTCCGTCGTTTACTGGCTGTGACTTGGTCCTTCTGTGCTTCGGCTTCCTTGCTGAAGGTGGAGGCTGTGGTAACCAGTCCTTAGTTACAGTATGTGCATGTTTAGCACACAGTCCAATATAGTAAACGCTCAAATGTTAACTGCTTCTTATTACCCTTGCTGTACACCCTCATCCATTTTTCTATCTTATATTGCTACTGTCAAACTGATGATTCTCTTTTTTTGTTAAGAAAAACAAACATTAATTGAACAGGATACAAGAAACATTGTATATAGGACAGTGACACCTCAGTCCCTTTCAAAGCAGGCACCTTGGGACCTCACACAGTTCTCCCAATTGCTATCAGCTGCCCCATCATATTTTCCCAAATCTCACTGACAGTCTGAAATTTCTCCCCTTTCTTCTTTTTTTTGCGGGGGTGGGAGGATTTTTTTTTTTTTTTACAATTAATATTATTTACTCTTAGTTTCAGGTGAACAGCTTGGAGGTTAAACAGTGATATACGTTACAAAGTGACCCCCCCAATATTTTAAGTGCACACGTAGCACCATACACAGTTACTATTGTTGATTTCATTCCCCACGCTGTACTTTACAACCCCATGAGTATTTGGTACCTACTTCTTAGTCCCCTCACCTTCTTCACCAAGCCCACCAAACCTCCTCCCCTCTGGCAGCTGTCAGTCTGTTCTCCGTTATCTGTGAGTCCGTTTCCATTTTGTGTGTTTGTGTATTCACTTCTTTAGATTCCACATGTAAGTGGGATCATCTCTAATTTAGACCCTGCATCCCTCCTGTGCTTTAAGGCTTTAATTCCAACTGTATGGAAAAGATGCTAGTTGTCCCTCGATTTTCATTCTTCTCTCTTTCGTCTGTAGTAACAGAATCCCTATTTTTAACTGAGAGTGTGGCCATTCAGATTCCCCAGCTCCCTTATATCTGATAGATGTGGCTGGGTAAATACTACATTCTGGCCAATAGGATGCAAGAAAAAGTAAAGTGTGCATGATTAAGATGGTGAATTAATGTGTATTTCTCCACGATGTTTTAAACAGTGAAGCGCAGAGCCCTGGCTGGTGTGGCTCAGTGGATTGAGCCCCAACCTGAGAACTGTGGGTCGCTGGTTCGATCCCCGGTCAGGGCACACACCTGGGATGCGGGCCAGGTTCCCCGTTGGGGGCGAATGAGAGGCAACCACACATTGATGTTTCTCTCACACATCTGTGCTTCTCTCCCTCACTTTCTCCACCCTTTGCCCGCTCTCTAAAAATAAATAAATTATCTTTATTTATTCACCTGTTTAAAAAAGTGAAGTGTGGAAATATACTTTGTGTCTTTCAAAGAAAAGGGGGATGCCTCCAAGCCCTGCCCCTCCCCCTTTTCCCCTTTCCCACTGGCTGGAATGAAGAAGTCCAAGTGGACCTGCTGGTGAGCTACACCCTGGACCGTATGGATGGGCCAATACATTGTCCGGGGCAGTGAGACAGCAAACAGCTGGAGCTACGCTATCAGACTACATTGCTTACACATGAACTACTGTGGGAAGAAGGAATAAGCATTTATCTGCATGCTCCTATGGCTATGTTTTGTGTCTGTAACAGTGGCTGCACCTAATCCTAATATTATCCACTCAGCATCGCCAGTTCGCTATGTCACGGTCACCTAGATGCGCTACATGTAAATCAGCTCAGCCCCAACCTCAGCTCAAGCCTACCTAATCTCCAAAATCAGCACAGCTTTCAGATGCCCCTTTTCTCTCTTATCCACCACAACGCCATTCGTACTTGACAAGGATACTTTCCTAATTTCTCTCTTCCTTTCCTCTCTCTCTCACCAACACTGCCTATTAATGACCCTCCTCCCCTTCACTCCATCCATCCTCCACATCGCCGCTAGAGTTCTCCTTCTGAAATACAAACCTGTGGATGTTCTTTCTTTCTTAAAACTGCCTACAGCAGGGGTCCCCAACCTCCAGGCCATGGACTGGTAGCGGTCTGAGCCTGCGAGGAACCAGGCCTCACAGCAGGAGGTGAGCTTGAACGTAATGCGCCTGAATCATCCTGAAACCATTTCCCTACCCTGGTCCGTGGAAAAACTGTCTTCCACAGGGCTGGCCCCTGATGCCATGAAGGTTGGGGACTGCTGGTCTACAGAGTGAGTTGAAATTCCCTCCTGTAGTGCTCACACTCTAGCTCTCCCCTCCCTCCCTGCTTCACATCATGACTTTCCCCACAACCTCACCCAGCCATGACCTTGCTTCCCTACCTCCTGTTCCCCGAGCGTGCGGCTCACGCCTTTGTTACCATTGGCCTCCATCCCCCTGATTAGACCTGCGCACACCCACTCAGACCTCCTCGGCTGGCAAACTGCCACTTGTTTTTGAGGCCCAGCTCAAGAATCTCCTTTGTGAAGCTCTGCTCCGCCTTGCCGTGCAAAACGACTGCATTACCACTCGCCCATCTATCTCCCCAGCCAATCAGAGTGTTCACAGAGGCAAAGAGCGTGCCCGCCTCCTCCCGACACTGCCAGCGCCTCCGCATCCCAACAGTAAGCAGCAGCAGTCTAGTGCTCATAGTAACAGTGGTCAGCATTTCCGCAAGACTCTGTCCTAAGCACTTACACGTTCACAACGCTATGAAAAAGGCACATTTCCATCATCCCCGTTTTGGAAATTAGAAGACCAGGCCCAGAGAAGTCAAGTCACGTCGAGGTCACTGAGCCAGCAAGTGAGCTTTGAGACATACACCAAGCCTTAGAGGCATACTGAGGTGGGTGGGACATGCAAGATGTTTTTACATCTGAGACTCTTCTGAATGATTATTATGTGACTAACGTCATGCCAGGTGTTCTCGGGTGGGAGCTGAGTACAGAATGTGGTAAAGTTTTAAACAGAAAAAAAAAAAAACCCACGAAAGGCTTTTAGAAAGACACAAAATAAATAATAAAAATATTCCCACATGGGACACCAGTGTAAAAATCAGACATGTTGTTCATGAATAAATATAAAGTTATTGAAAATGCACACATTTTACCTGGTGTTTATTAACAAAGGACACCATTTTTTCAGTAGAGAAAAGGGATAATTTAGAGCAGTGGTTCTCCAAGTGTAGTTCGCAAACCCCTGAAGCCCCCATAATACCTTTTTAAGAAGCTCTGAGCTAAGGTTTGCATCAATGGTGCGGTGGGTACGCGCCAGGTGGCTTAGCTGAGCCAAGGCAGTGGCACCAAACTTTACTGGTGGTCATTTATCTGTCACTTTCCTACTGGTCATTTATTCGTCACATTAAATAAAAAAAGAAAAAAGAGGCTCATTTCACTTAAAAATGCCCTTGATAAAGCAACAAAAATTGTCAAAGTTACTAAATCTCAACCATTGAGTGGCTGTCTTGTCAATATTCTCCGTGACAAAAATGGAGCATTATCTTTACTCGGAAGATAAACTAGACATTGTTTTCATGGAACACCATTTTTACTTGAAAGGACCGCTAACCAACTATGCTTATTCGGACCTGGGGATTTCACACATTTTTCTCAAAAATGAAGTGAGCCTGTCACTTCAAGGAAAACGTCCACGGTATCTTTGTCAGTGGTCAAATACAAAGCTTTCGAATGAATGAAAATTAGAATTTTGGAAATGTTGCATTCACCACCATCAGCTTAACAGCTTCTAATACTTTTCTGATGAGATCAATGACATATTAACGAAGGTGATTTTTAAAAATATTATGTGATAAAGCGTGTCAACATTTGGAAGATGGACATAACTCAGCGAACCGTTACTTCCCAAATGACCAAGGCATGATGTTTTGAATCAGAGATGGGGGTCAAAGGTCCACTCAGGATCGGTTTCACTGAGTCCACACTGACAAGGGCCCTGTGACTGCTGCAGTACTCGGCTATTGCTGTCTTGAACTTCTTAGTAACTTTTAAACACGGAGCCTTGCGTGATTTTGCACTGGAGCCTGTAACCACACAGCCAGTCCTGGACCCATTCAAAATGCAAGGGCAGACCACAGCCGAGTATGAAAAGTTCAAGTTCCATACTGCAGCCAATCTTCGAGAAACTCCTACCTGTCCAGTTTTGGTATATTATCAAAGAATATTCATAGTGTTTTGAAAAGGTTATTAAAATACTCCTTTTCCCAACTATGTGTCTGGGTGAGGTCGGTGTATTCATATACTTCAAACAAAACAACATTCTCAAGATACTAAAGACAGAAGCAGACATTAAGAAATCCAACTTTCTTCTATTAATTCAGATATCAGAAAGAGATCTGCAAAAAGTAAACCAATGCCACTCTTCTAATTTATAAAAAAGTTATTTTCATAAAAATGTTATTCATATTCAAATGTACTTACCATTATTTTTAAGCAAAAGATATTTGTTTTTAAGATTTTATTTATTTTATTTTTAGAGAGAGGGGATGGGAGGGAGACAGAGGGAGAGAAACAGTGTGTGGTTGCCTCTCACACATCCCCAAATGGGGACCAGGCCCACAACCCGGGCATGTCCCTGACTGGGAATTGAACCAGTGACCCTTTGGTTCACAGGCCAGCACTCAACCCACTGAGCCACACCAGCCAGGGCTAAACAGAAGATATTTTTAAATTTTTGCAGTTTTATTTCTATATGATAAATATGAATAAATGAAAGCTCTCTAGGGCCCTTAATTTTTAAGAGTCCAGAGGCCCAAATGTTTGAGAACTACTGATTTAGAATGAAGTGCGTGAAAAATACATCGACAACAGCAGACTCCTACCGCATTTCAATCATCATGTCCTCAAGTAACTCCGACGAGTCCCTGCTGTAGATGCGGATGTAGAACTGACTGGGAGAGATGACGTACTCCACGAAGACTCCCACCAGGGTGCTGGTATCTAACGGTGGCAGTCTGCACAACTTCCTGTCCCGCACAGAATCTGGTGGGATGTCGTGACTGGCCGCTGCCATGTTGAGCTGTGATTTGTCCATTTCTAGTTGCTGTAAGTTAAAAAAGCAATCCAAGAAGCCCCCATAAATCTTTGGGTGGATGTCTCAAACTCTATGACATTTCTCAGAGTATATTTCACGAGTCCCCTGTATCAGAATCACCTAGGAAATTATAAATGTGGGGAGTCTTGGGCTTCAGCCCACACTTACTAATTCAGAACTCCTGGGAACGGGGCCCATAAGAATGCACTTGAAAATTCCCGAGGTGATCCTTAACTAGGTCAAAATATGAAAACTACTACCTTGAGACAGGTGAAGAGTTAAAAATGTGTCGCACAACTGCCACACACAAAACTAATCACACAGTCCTTCAAACAGGTTGAACTAAGGCAGATTCTCAATATACCCAACCTTACCGAAAAAGGTAACTGGAAAGAATGGATTAAATTTCAGACTAGTCTTATGATCAAAAATAGGGTTTCTCAACACTCACTCTAAATTATTTTCCTTTAGGCCTTCCAATTGTCCAGAAAACACAGCAGGCCCTCTCCTAACAAAATGTTTTCCTTCCACGAAAGAAGCAGGTACAGAGGGCAGGAGGGAAGGAGGGTGAGCAACTCATTCCTCAGGAACAACCAGGTGAGTAACAGAGAACATACAGAGAGGGAGACTTTGTGCAGAGATGTCACACTGGAGGAAAATCAAAGCTCCCACGCTGGAGGAGAGGGCGGGGCAACCTGCAGCCGCAGCTGGGCCCGCAGCTGACACAACGCTGCCCCCCCATCCCTCCCTCTGAGCAGTGCGGCGTTTTCAAGCCTGCATTTTGAAAAAACGTGCACAGAGAGTCAGCGATGTCACCTTGGGAGAAGTCTATTCTCAAAACCACGTGGGAACTTTAAAACAAGACTCGAGGGAAAAAAGATTGAAAGCCAGAACAAATGCTACATACAGCGACTTCAGACCAAAGCTCTGGTCTCTTCCAAGAAATCAAACACCCGGGAACAAGACTCTTCTGAGACAGAATTTTGGTTTCAGGAGCCATGCGTTCGGTTGCTCCCCATAGCGCTGGGTCTCCAGCGCACACGCCCGTCAACCTTACTCACCAGCTGTAAAGGCTTCACCACCAGGTTAGGCTTCTTGTAACTCTTCTGTTCCGGCTCTTTGTGATGTTTAAAGGACCAGGCCCACGTGTTCTCCCTCTGAGCAGCAGCAGACGATGATGCATTTCTAGGGGGACTAGAGACACAGGCTTTGGCTTCTATTTTCTTATCTGACTGAACTAAACATGTATTTCTCACTGAAGAAACCGCTCCATCTGAAATGACCAAGAGAGCAGCCTAAGTACAATGTATCGGTTCAAGTATCTTTATAAGCACAGCCTCCGTGCCAGGCACTGAGTAGTCAGCGATAAATGAGAGACACAAACCCGTCTCTGCAGGGCCTTTCAGTATGGAGACGCACAAGGGAAGTTCCAGGTGGGAACAGATCTTAAATTAATTACCCTGGGGGGACAGGGAGAGTCTAGGAAGGCTTCTTCAACTTTGGTGATCGGTTGTTTATTTTTCAACCTTCTGACAGCAATTTATTTATTCTCCAGATTTAGCAGTGACCATTCACGGTTGTGTAATGTAGCGCATATGCGACTACTTAGCAGTCCATAATACGATGCCTTCATTTTTTAGGGAATTCCCAAATCAATCTCATATTTTGTTTAAATTTATACATATATGAGTACAAGAATTTGGCACATTAAAACCAACCCAGATACATCCAAAACCAATGGCTCCTGAAAAGTAAACTAGTAAGTGCACGAAGAGGCAGATACAATATCACTGTATTTTTTTTGTAATGAAGAAAAATGGGTACGGTCCACATGTCCATCAATGGGAAGTTCAGTGAATTATTATGTAGTCACGTAGAAGAATTATATGTAGTTAAAAAGAATGAAGTTGACCTGTATGTGCTGATATGGAAAAACATGCACATGTATGAAGTATAGAAAGCAAGGATGTATACAATATTTGTATAATACAGTTTTGTGTAAGGAAAGTTTGCATATGTTATAAAACTATAATACACAGAAAAGGTCCATGAAGAGACCCACTAAAACTACTATCTTTAGTTGCCACCTCTGCATTGCTAGAATTGTTTAAACAAGCAAATACTACTTTTAAAAACCTAGCTATGCTTACACATACAATGAAAAAAGTCTGGAAGGCTATATAAAAATTTTAACATTTTCCAGGCTAATGTGTGACCTGGTCGGTTATAACATAACCAGTAATCCCACATAACCAGTGCTTTCTTCTTCCCTGTCCTTACAGGGAAAACTAAAAACCAGGTTTGCTGCACGTCGTAATTCAACTCACCCCGTGGCAGAGGCCTCAGATCGGCATCGAACAGCAGTAAGTCCTGCTCTGCTTCCCTGAACTCCACGTAGAGAATGTCACTAAGAGCCCCAACGAGCTCTATCACATTTAGGAAGCCCAGTTTTTTTGGTGAAAGTTGCTCTTTAAAAACTACCTGTCACAAAAAAAGGAAAAAGGAACAACATGGAACAGCAATGTTGGATAACAGAAATATAATCTGTACAGACACGCTTGGACAGTGCTTTAATCTGGACTTGGCCCAGCTAGACCTGTAGGACCAGTAACTCAGGTGCTGCAGTAAAGGCTTGCTTCCGTGCGTGTGTAGTACAAACCGAGAGACCGATCGTCCCTTACTTTAGAACTTGTAAGCCAACGTCAAATCCCTTCAGGGCATGTGGTAAACTGAAGTGAAAATCAGGAGACCCTTTTACCTCTCATTTTTAACAATGGCTGACTATAAAGCAGACATCTTTTTTCTAATGAGGGGAATGCACAAGATATAAAAATCATAATAAAGCTGTTGACAGCTTATTTGCAGAAAAAGAGTATTCACTACCACACCACTTTCAACACGCAATAAAGTATTTTAAAAATATTTCCCTAAAACCGTGTCTGTTTCACCCTGGAAGCTGGGATAAACAACCAGGTGTCAGTGCATTTCCTACATTACACTGTTTGATTTTCTTGCCGTGGAAAGGGAGAAAAATTATATTAAGTATATTATAAGCAGAAAAGAATATAGACAGGACAGATGCTATACATGTTCTTTCCTTCATGATAATAATGCTGCCTGCAATGGTTTTTTAGAACAAGCACAACATTTTCACTGTACGAACTGGGCACACAGGGAAGAAAGATGCCTTCCTGGGAAAAGCCAGGAGGGGTGGGTGGGCGGGAGGAAGGCCGAGGGAGGAAGGCCAAGGTTGGAGACAGCAGTGATTCTGCATGTGGGTGCTGACAGTTAAGGGGGGCGGGGTCTGGGGCCTGGTGGGCCTGGCAGACCTGTCAGACGGGGTGGTGGGAGGCAACATGGCGTCTATGACTCCTTCAAGGGGAAGGCCGGGCTCACCGTGGTAAAAGAACTGTGGGTTCGCGTCTCAGCAGGCGGTGGTGGTCGCAAGGCCTTGACTAACAGGACACAAGGGCGACCAGAGGCTGCCAGCACTCGGACCGAGGCTGTGACTGGGTGGCCTGGGCTGGTGGTGTCCTTGCAGGCGGTGGGCGGCAGACAAGGAGGGCTGGGGTGGGGGTGGGGGTGGGGGTGGGGGTGGGGGGGTCAGTGTCTCTCTCTCTACACCAAGGGCCCGGGGCGCAGAGGCCTGGGCCTGGGCACAAGGGGAAGGGCCGCTCCGTCCCTTGCTACGGGCCTGAAGGCAGATGGCCGGTTTCCCTTGTGGTCCGGGACCTCAAACCAGAGCGGCTCGTCGAACTTCCTTTTCCCCTTATTGCACTGGCTGAGAGCCTTCAGCACCGTCTCCTTGGCACAGGGGTCCGGGGGCTCTTCCGGGGGTGGACAAACGTAGAAGTTCGGTTTGCTCCCAGGAGGAGTAATTTTGATGGTCACCGGGCTCTGGACGCGTCGGGGGCGGCGAGGATACCAGAGCAGCTGCCCCATCATACTCTTCGGAGTGCCGGAAATATCCAGCCCCACGGGGGTCAGGCCGGGTGGGTGGCCGGGAAAGTGCCTCCAAACCGCATACATCCTCGCCCTCCGCCTTTCGGCGCAGTCTCGGCTAGACAGCGCGGCCTGGGGCTGGGGCTGCGGCTGGACCGGGACGCGGCAGCAGCAGCAGAGCCGCCGCCGCTTCGGGTGGATGCAGGGGTCTCGGATCTGGTCCGGGCGCCGCTGGCGAAGGGACGGCATGGACTCGAGGGTCCGGCGCGCTCGGGTGGGGGGCTGTAGTGTGGCATTGGCTGTGCTTCCGCACCTGCCCAGGTACCTGCCCAGGTAGCTGCTCAGGTAGCTACCCATTATCGCAGTGAAGCGGGGTCCGCGTAGTCAAGGGCGACCGCGTTCCTAGACGTTGCTGCCTTTTGGAATCTTGAAGCTGGACCACCTACCTTTGTGACGCCTCTGAGCGCGCGCGTCACGGCTAGGCCCGCGGGCGGGGCGTTCACGGCAATACACCGGCTGGGTTTAAGCTGCACGGTGAACTGTTAACTCGGACCTTGTTCATAAACCCTCCCATTAAAAATTCAAACTCTTAATGAAACTTCCGTCTCCCTGACCGAGGTTAAAGCAGATGAGCTAAACATACATGTTTACATAATTATTGCTCTCTTCCTCTGACTAGGTGTTAGTAGGAAATCCACGCTCCCACGTTATTACCTTGCGGACTATGGACAGAACACAGAAGGCAAGCACTCTAATACAACGCGTACTCGCTGCTCGTGTGATGGTCTGAGATCCCACTCAACTCCTGATGACTTCTCCCAGGGGAGCCCAGCATCAGTCGGGGCATGGTTTAAAGGGGTCACTCACATCCTACACCTAGAGCCATTCAGGAATATCCCGAGAGATAAAGACTGGGCAGAGGACACGGGAAGGGTGCTGGTGAATTAGGCTCAGTATCTCTGCTTCTTTGTACATGACGTGTGCATGACGGTTTCTTTCCCTTTTATGCCCATTAGTTACTTCAGTGGTTTCTCTACTTTCTCCTTAAGCACTATGAACATCAATTCAGTTGAACAAAGGCTACTTTGGAAAGGATTTTAAACATAATTTATTAATTTTTGAATGTGATATTCAAAAGTCTCAAACAGGTACACAGCAAACACAGGCTCTGTCGCACTCTGACCTGTCGGTCACCCAAGAGACTGCCTCCCGGGAGGTGCCCGTTGGCCAGTTTCTTCTGCGGCTCGTGTCCCAATTCCACTGTAAACACTGTCTGTGGATTTCTGGTTTTGCTACCCGGTTCCTCTCCCCATCTTTATGGGGAGCTTCAGGAAGACCCCAAAACTATACCGCTAATGTACTATCTTCCCTTCAGTTAGCAATTTAATAAGGGATTTTGAAAAATGGCAGACTGTTGACCAGATATTTCAAGAGGACAAATCATACAAGTAGCTATATATCCTGTTCAATAAAAAGGGTTAGCAGGTGTTTCTACAAGTTACAATAAAGGTTAAATTAAATCTAAACCTAGTAGACATTTATAACCATGAAATTAAGTATCTGCCCATCTGGTTACCAAGAGAGGCAAAGATCTTTCCTGTAACATTAAAAGGTTTGTTTTAACTTCTCCAGGATTGTTGACTTGGAACCTTAATACCCTAAATTTTTATTATAGGAAGCTACATTTGGTGAAATATTTGTGATAGAAAACTGCTCACTCTGAGCTGTGAGTCTGGCACAGGAGGTTGATTTTACCCATAAATTTTGTGATATGATTTAATTATGTGATTTAATAAGATTTAGTTAGATTAATTTAATGATTTAATTATTTAATATGATTCTGTAATTTCATTAGATAAGTAGTAACTTTACTTATTAATAAAAACAAAAACACCAAAAGCCTTTGTTATAGCTTCTCCCACGTGCCTACTTAAAAAACACTGTGGCTCTAAAAGATACACTTCTTTTAAAAGAGGTGAATTTAAATTTTCTTCATCACTATCTGAGGGATGACGTGTATTTTCTGTAAGTTTTCTTCTTTTAGCATTTATTGAACAATTACTATGTGGCAGGCACTGCTCTAAGTGCTTTATGTTTAAGTCATCTAAACTCCACAAAACTCTATAAAATTAGGTAATATTATCCTGATTTACATATCATCCGTAAGATGGTTGTACAGAAGCGAGGCACCTTAACCATTATGCTACAGTATCTCCCAATGTCTGTGTTCATATCTGCAAATACACGACGGCTTCTATGGCACAGCGGTTAAAGGCAGGACTCTGAAAAGACCGGCTGCCCGGGGCTCCAGTCCCCACTCCTCCCACGCCAGCTATCCGACCCTTAGGCAAGGTCTCTGTGCCTCAGTGTGTCCTGAAACCTAATGAATACTCACTATACGAAAGCCACTCAGAACGCAGTGTGGCCCACAGCTAACGCAGGTATAGGACTTAACCATTTTTAAAAATTGGTTGTATGGCAGTATCTGAATTATCATTCAGCAATTTGATGTTTTTTTCACTAATCACAATGGTTCCCAAAATGTTTCATGTTCTGGAACAAATCTAGATCCTTTATTTTATCTACTACGTATCATTCCATTGCCTAAGTGTCAATCCCAATTCATTTATCCACTCTCCTACTGATGGCCACGTAATCTGTTTCCAGTTTCTCACTATGCTGCAATGTGCACACGTCTTACGTATGTCCCCATGTGCACGTACGTAAGAGCTTCTCTGAAGCGCATGTGTGGACTTGGAGCTGCTGGGCCAGGGGGTGCATATCTTCAGCCCTGCTGTCCCGCCACAGCACTCTCCACAGGGGTCTTGTCCCGTAAGCAGGGAGAGGTACCGTGTTTCTCCACTTCCCCTCTGCCACTTGGTATTATCAGACATTAAAAATAACTTACTCTAACAATATCAGAATAATAAGTGGTAAAAATATCCTTCCTATTTATCATGAAGTATTTATTAAGAACAATATTCTGAACTCTTTTAGTAAAGCAAAGGACTTCAAAATTCAAAATAAGATGTTTCAGTTCTAGAGCACAGACTTGGAGGGTCCAGGAGTAGCGACAACATTTCTATCTATCAAGAAAAACATAAGCCATAAAAAACCAAGGTTGGTGAAAAAGGAAACACTCACCTCAAACTCTCTAAGCAGTTTAGAAATAAGCAATCCCTCTGGAAACTTGGACACAACCTAATAAACAGAAAATGAAACAATATAAATAGATACCATTGGAATGCTATGTGATAAAATGTCAAAATAAGACAGCATAAATTTAAATAGTAACAAAGATAAAAAATACATTACTGAGTGAATGAAATAGAGTGGCAATATTTTTAAATCAGTTTCAAGTTTAAAAAAAAAATAAAAAAGCAGTGACCTCTATGACTTCCAACACTTCCAGAGTTGAGAAATTATTCTTGCACAACACTGGAATGACGCAACTCTCCAGGAATCCCTATAGTTCTTTAGCTCAGCCAACACATTTAGCTTTAGCACACACTACAGGAGAAAAACCTAAAAAAAATTCTATAGCATAATTTCAACAATTTTAAGTGGTAGAAAAGTCCAATGGACATTACAGAAAACTGCAAAATCCAGTTAAGCAAAGAGAAAATATCCAGCTAGTAGCCATGGTTGTCCAAGTGCATGTAAAGGTACCTGTATTTAATATAAAAACGGTCCTTATTTCTACAACCAGTTTTTAAATATCAAACCATAGACCTCGGTTGTGTCGATGAGTATGGAGCAGCACGTTGACCGGCCTGAGCTTTCACCACATTCAAACCCAGAGACACTGCGGTGATCATCCTCACACCTGCATCGTGCACAGCTGACACCTGTCAGCTGCTCATTTAGGATAAATTCCCAGAAGTGGATTCAGTCTACCCCAATAAAGTTTAAAAAGCTTGGTGTTTTTCTCATTTTTTCAAGGTAGTATGTATTGTATTTAAAATTTTAATTCAAGTTTCAGAAAAATATAAAGTAAAACATATTCCAAAATCCTATACCCCAGATAGAGTTGTTGCCACATTTTGGAAAACACCCTTTCAGAAACCAATTTATGCACACACATACTCACATTATTCATAGTTTTATGTGAAAGGATAACACTAAACGTGTCATTGTATAAAATCTGCTTTTAAAGTTCAACAATATGTTAAGGAGTTCCTCCATGTAAATTAACTGAAATATACATAAACTTTCTTATGAGCCACATGCATCGATATTCCCTAGTTTGGGTAAATAATTTAACCAATCCTTTATCAATGAATGCTTAATATCCCTCTAATATTCTGTTACCACAAAAAGTCACATTGAACAAATGCCCAAACACGAACACGGGCCTGAATGCACACAGGTTTTCGCATTCCTCCCACGTAAACCACAGCGGCTCAGCTGGAGTAACACAAGGCAGTAAGTGTCAAAATGGCACTCTGATTACTCAAATTTCAACTCACAGCTCTCTCCAAAATTTTCAGTGTGTACTTCCGGCCAAGATGGAGGCATAGGGAGACACACTGTGCCTCCTCGAACAACCAAGATAGGGACAACAATTTAGAAACAGAGTAACAACCATAACTGACAGGAAATTGAACTGTGTGGAAGTCGGACAACCAAGGAGTTAAAATAGATATGTTCATCCAGACAGGTAGGAGGGGTGGAGTCGGGCAGCTGGGTGCGGGTCGAGGCACAGAGAGCAGAGAGCGTTGGGACCGGGCGCATAAGGCATCCAGGGTGCGCAAGTGGCAGCTGGCAGACCCCGGCTGAGGGGTGGCAACCGCAGACCCAGCGAGGCAGTGATTGCGAAGCAAGGCACTGCGTGCAGCCCAGGATCCCAGCGCTGGGAAACAGAGCCTCGGGACACTGATTGAAAACACCTGTGGGGGTTGAGGCGCAGAGAGAGAGTCCCAGCCTCACAGGAGAGGTCTTTGGAAAGTCCCACCGTGTGCACAAGCCCACCCACAAGGGAATTGGCACCAAAGGGGTCGAGTTTGCTTGGGGGCAGTGGCGGAAGGGACGGAGGTCCAATGGAGAGTGGAGCAAGCGCCACTGTTCCCTCTCAGACCCCGCCCCCACATATAGCATCACAACCCAGCGACTGGGGGGCCCGCCCTGGTGAACATCTAAGGCTCCGCCCCTCATACGGAACGGGCGCGACCGGATCAAAGGAAAAAATAAAGATGGCTCAAACAGAAGAACAAATGAAAGCTCCACAATCAGTACTTTTAAGCGACCAAGAGACAGCCAACCTATCAGATGCACAGTTCAAAGCACCGGTGATCAGGATGCTCACAGAATTGGTTGAATTTGGTTGCACATTAGATGAAAAAATGAAGGCTATGCTAAGTGAAATGAAGGAAAGTACACAGGGAACCAATAGTGATGGGAAGAAAATGGGGACTCAAATCAATGGAGTGGACCAAAAGGAAGAAAGAAACATCCAATCAGGAAAGAATGAAGAAATAAGAATTCAAAAAAATGAGGAGAGGCTTAGGAACCTCCAGGACATCTTTAAACGTTCCAACATCTGAATCATAGGGGTACCAGAAGGAGAAGAAGAAGAGCAACAAGTTGAAAACTTATTTGAACAAATAATAAAGGAGAACTTCCACAATCTGGCAAAGGAAATAGACTTCCAGGAAGTCCAGGAAGCTCAGAGTCCCAAAGAAGTTGAATCCAAGGAGGAACACACCAAGGCACATCATAATTACATTAGCCAAGATTAAAATGAAGGAGAGAATCCTAGAAGCAGCAAGAGATAAGGAGACAGTAACGTAAAAAGGAGTTCCCATCAGATTGTCAGCTGATTTCTCAAAAGAGATGTTACAGGCAAGGGGCTGGAAAGTATTCCAAGTCAGAAAGGCAAGGACCTACATCCCAGACTGCTCTATCCAGCAAAGCTTTCATTTAGAATGGAAGGGCAGATCAAGTACTTCTCAGATAAGGTCAAGTTAAAGGAGTTCATCATCACCAACCCCTTATTTTGTGCAATGTTAATGAGACTTATCTAAGAAAAAGAAGATAAAAAACATGTATAGAAAAATGACAGCAAACTCACAATTATTAACAACCACACCTAAAGCAAAACAAAAAGAAACTAAGCAAACAACTAGAACAGGAACAGAACCACAGAAATGGAGATCACATGGAGGGTTAGCAACAGGGGAGTGGGAGGAGGAGAGAGGGGGAAAAAGCTATGGAGAATAAGTAGCACAGACAGTAGGTAGAAAATAGACAGGAGGAGGGCAAGAATAGTATGGGAAATGTAGAAGCTAAAGAACTTATGACACATGGACATGAACTAAAGGGGGGAATGTGGGTGGGAGAGGGTGTGCAGGGTGGAGGGGAATGAAGGGGGATAATGGGACAACTGTAATAGCATAATCAATAAAATATATTAAAAATTTTTTAAGTGTACACATCCTTTGGCCCTATACATAATAGCCAAAAGCGCTGTACAAATTAATGAGAAAAAATAAATTAAGCCAAGGACAAAAGTAATTCATGTCTGAAATATAAATGGCTACTCTGCATATGAAAAGATGCTCAATATAAAAATCAAGAGGTATAAATTAAAACATAACTAAATAGTAACATTTCACTGTCAATGAGAGTGAAAATTTGTTCAAACCTTTTAGAGGGCAATGCAGTAATATTTAATCAAATCTCAATCAATGCCTCTGTAAACTTCCCTTCTAGATAAATGTTAAGGGATATTAACTGCAGAATTTTTTAATAGTCAAGGCTAGAAATAACCCAAATGTTAATCAAAAACAAATCTCATAAGTGAAATATTGTACCTCCACACTGTGGGATACCATACACAATTCAGAATAATATTTGACATACTATATATAAAAGCAGTACTAGAAAGATCTTGACAATGATCTATTGGGGTGAGAGGGGGAAAAAAGGAAGTGAGCACATTTATGAAGGAACTTACATTTTATAAATTTTTTTCAAAAAACTTTAAGAGTATGTAATTTATATACTGTTTTTTTTCTGATCTTAAAGGAACAGTCATGCCATTTGCAATATATTTTAAAAGATCAGGCATAAATATAAAACTAATAAATGCTCATAGGCAACTTAAACTCAACCACAAATGATATCTACATGTATAATCAATTATTCTTATCCATTTCCCAGAAACAGAAAATACTTACAAATTTTATCTTATGTTTTAGTTCTGGATTGATAGTGCCACCAGGTCCAATCTGTGCAATAACTGATTTGAAGGTGTTCTCCAACTATGAAAAGGAAAAAAATGTTTGAGTTATAGTAAAAAAAAAAAACTCAAGGGTAAATCTGAATTCTATGCAAAGGAAATATCTATCAAAGGAAATGTATTTCAAATCAAATGGATAAAAAATTGTTCTCAAAAGACACTGTAACATTTCATACATATAAAACACATTCAGATAAAATCTTTATAAAACTAAATACTGAAATTTCCGAGGATAATTAATATTCTCTGTAACAATTAGATTCTTGAGTCTTCAATTCCTCAACCTCATACTCCTACCCAGAAAGAAACTGTGTTACTCATTTACTTCTCTTTATAACTTTTTGAGGTTTACTGCACACATACTTAGTGCACACCTAATGCAGGGAAGAGACGGGATGGTGTGAGGCCCCTGGGGGGCCGGATTGGTGTGAGCCAGGGCACTGCGGGAACCACTGGTGCTAAGGGGCCAAAGGAAGAGCTCCTCTGCTGAAATGGAAATGAAGGAGGAAAGAACCACAAGGATGCAGGAAGGCTCTGCGAATGTGGGGCCAGCAGGTAGAGACAGTTACTATCTGAAGTATTCTGAGTTCAGACGCAAGGCCCACTCCTAAGAAAAGAGGGAAAAGAGAGGGAGCTCACCCAGTTGAGGAAGTGGAAAAATAAGGAAGTTACGGATAATTATCTGAATTCAACAGGTAGGGAGTAAAGATGGGAGAGGCCCAAGTTACGGTAGCAGGGGTCTGAGTATTTTGGAAGGGAGAAGCCAGTGGCAAACGGAGACCCCAGTAAGGTAAAAGGTGGGCATGGGATGAGCTGAAAATACAAGCTGGAAGCACAGATTACGACCGGAGAACAGCATGGAGCATGTGCACACAGCCAAGGTCCAGGGAACAGCCAGGACAGGGGAGACCTGAAGTAGCTGAGAGAGGGTGGAGTTGTTTAAAGGTGCAAGTAAATGCAGCGGAACCTCGGTCCTCAAACTTACCCCATTCTGGAAAACTGTTTGAGAGGCGATTTGTTTGAAAACCAACTCTCCTTTGTTTGTTGACCGAGAGATGTGTGACTGATCACACAGGTTATCAGCGTGAAAGGGCTGTCAGGTTGAGAGTTGAGAACCAAAATTTTGTTGGACAACTGAGAAATTTTTTCTGGGAACTTGGTCAAGAACCATATTGTTCAAGAACCAAAATGTTCGACAACCGAGGTTTGACTGTATAAAAATATACAATATATTAAAAAAGCTACAAAGATATATAGAAAAACACAAATTACCTAAGATGCCACCACACAGACACAATCACTATCAATATTTTTTCCTTCTAAATTTTTATCTTGTGATCTTTCTTCTTATTGTCACTTGGCCTGTCATTGCTTATAAACTGTGACCTTTTAGGTCTGTTTCTTCATCTGAAAAATGAAGACAATCTCAGTATTTCATAAGGTCGACATGAAAGTGGGACCTGGGAGGGGAGATCAGATTCCTATGCCTGTATCACTAGCTTTCACGAAAGGCTTTTGCCTCTTGTTCTTTATATTTCTATGTATCTGTCATGAAATAATTCCCTAAAGCTCTCCCAGTGAATCCTAAGAGAATCTAAAGTAACTGATTTTTCACATCTCAACAGGCTATCACCATCTGAAGATTCGATACAACAATTTATTAAATTATCACTGTGCTAGGTGTTCCAGCCGACAAAAAAGTAGTCACTTTTGAAAGTACTATTTCTCTCAACCCACTGACAATTAAGTAGGCAAATGAGATAATTGCATGAACAGCTACAACCTAAAGCTGCCTCTAAGCACCATTCAAGCATAAAAGTGCAGATGGATACATCACATTAAGGTCCGTGTACATGGGAGGCTTCCTTCTAGAAGGGTCGTAAAGGATGGGGAGAATAGTGCAGAGGGGGATGGTAAAGCGGGCAATGAAGGCAGAAGGAATTTCATAAATAAAGAAAAAAGTGTAACTTGCCTGAAGGCATCAGGAGAGCAGTGAAGGAGAAAACTGGAAAAGGCAGGCTGAAGTCCTGCTACAGAATACCTTACATGCCAATCTCAGGCATTTTCCCTGGTTATGCAAACAAGAACTGACACTAGAGATTCTTAGCTAGGGAGAGGCATTATCAGAATGTTAGCCTGGCAGAAAATTTGATTTGGAGGGATGGACCACCAGTTAGGAGACCAGTGCAGCTCTGGGAGAGAGTTTTAACTAGGGTGCTAAGAGAGTACAAACAGGAACCAAAGATAACACAAGGGTGGGCTCCACAGAAACCAGGAAAGAATACAGTGGAGAAGAGGAACTGCTGGTTCTATAAGGATCAACAATAAGAGACCAAGGAAACAGACTCAGAGACCTCACGTTTTATGCAGAAAGCTAGCGGCCCTTAGGCATAAAGGTAGGTTTATGTCTAGGGTAGGTTTATGTAGGTTTTTGCTGGCTTCCACTGGATCCCAAGAGTTTGGGAAGCTGGGAAGTAAGCAGCAGGATGGTGAACGCAAATGTGATCCATTTCTGTGAAGAACGGCATGAAGCAGGGTCAGCAAACTGTGGCCCCGGGTCAAACCTGGCCTTCCCTCTGTCCCTGCACAGTCTTCTAACCTAAGAATGGTGTTAACATTCTTAAATGGTTGAGGGAAAAATAAAAAGAATACTATTTTACAACACATGAAAATGGTGCAAAATTCAAATTTCAGTCTCTACTGATAGAGTTTTATTGGAATGCAGCCACCCTCACCCATTCACGTACTGCCCAGGTTTGCTTTAGCATGACGAGGGCAGAGCTGAGTAATTACAACAGGGGTCACGTGGCCCCCGAAGCCTTGGCTATGTCCTGTGGGTGTGGCCTCTCAGAGAGAACATCTCCCACGTCTGGGCTTACAATGTCGAAATGACGGGTTCTGAATAGGAAAAGAACGCTTCTCAAGAAGATGAAAGAAAAAGGTGATTGCCTGAAGTTAACTGACTAAATTAAGTGGACTTTAAACTGAATGGGGTGAGGGAGATTATTTTAAAGTCCAGGTAATCGTAGGGATATCCATAATTAGAAGGTAAAAGTGACAAGGTGGGGAAAAGGAAGAGCAGGAAGCCATTAGTGACTGACACGAGGAAAGTAATCAGGAAGGTCCCTGATTTCAACAACGCTTTAGTCTCAAATGTCCTTATACCAAATACAACGAATGGGCAATAAATCAAGTGGACAAAAGTTTATAACATGGCCCTGATTGGTGTGGCTCAGTTAGTTGGAGCATCATCCCACAAAGTGAAGGGTCGTCGGTTTGATTCCCAGTCAAGGCACATGCCTGAGTTGTGGGTTCAGTCCCTGGCCAGGGCACGTATAGCAGGCAACCAATCAATGTTTCTCTCTCACAATGACGTCTCTCTCCCTGTCTTTCTCCCTCCTTTTCCCTCTCTCTAAAAATAAGTAAATAAATCTTTTCTAAAAATATTGTAAGGGCATAAATAAAGATGAAAATTGTCCCTCCCCTCCCAAAAAAGTCATATTCAGATAGGAGCCAATAGGACCAGAGAAGAGAGAACTCTGAATCAAAGAGCTATACAGAAAAATGGACAAAACACACAGATGATTGATAAAAATTAACACTAAATAGCCAATAAAAGCATAAAGTTTAAGCTCTAATAACTGAGTTAAGCCGGCAGTAGTTATTTGTCAATCAAATTAGAAAATTATTTTTAGAAAAATATCCATTCATTCATTCAACAAACATGCACTGACCACACACTACGTGCTTCACACGGTGCAAAGAGCAGGATGTACAGGACACACGGCCTGGATATGGTCCTGCCCCCATGGACCCTGCAGCCTAGTGTGGGGACACAGACACAAAACAATCCTATGGATAAGTATATGCTCACAGTCACAATCAATGAAAAACCCACCGAGGGTGATGAAGGGACGATGTGCCTGAAGGTGTTAGGGAAGCCACAGAGACTTAGCTCGGCCTGAGGTTAGCCAGGAGAAAAGGTCGGGGCCTACTGACCCCGAGTATTGGCAAACGTGCAAGGGAAGAACACACTGTCACACACCCATGAGAGTGCTGCCTGAAACGACTTTTAGGGAGGGCCACCTAATACATATGTGAGAGCCATACGAGCACGCACTCCTTGTGGTGCTGTGATTGCTTCTCCAGAAATTCATCCTGTGGAGTAATGGAAATATGTGCAAATCTGAGCACGATTTTCATCATAAGGTTATTATTGTTAATAGCAAAAACTAGAAATTGCCTAAATGCCTCACCTAGGTCACAAGTAAAATAAACTCCGGCACCTCCACACTGCCATTAAAAATATGTTGCATTAACAATATTTAACAATGTGGGATTGGTCACAGTGCCAAAGTACAATTTAAAAAAAGCAGGTCACAAACCTGGAACAGAATTATTTTAATTTTTTTTTCAGAAAAAGAAAATGTCAAATTTTCTGGGCAAAAAAATTATAGGTGATTTTTTTATGCTGTGCTTTTCTGTATTTTAAAACTTCTGCAATAAAAAAATCTGCAATCAATCTGTGTTACTTTTGTGATAAGAAAAAGGCTTTAATAACAGACACACACCTCGGTGTTTTTTGGAAGGAAGATGCATGAAGCTAAAAGCAGAAAGGAGCAGAAGCTACATCTTAGAAGCCCGTACTACAGACCTTTGGCCATGCAGTAGAAACAGTAATGGATTTCTGGTGCAGATCACAAAACTGGCACAGACACACATGCAGAAGTAGTACTTGCTAGGCAGCTCATTTAACTAAAAGCTAGGCATCGTGGAGTTTGACTTGCCGTACTAAAAATTCTACTGAACCCCGGGAAGCAGGGAGGGAACAGCTACTCCAAGCCGGCCAGAGAACACAGCTCCCGGAGAACTGCACTAATGATGACCCCACTGAATCACTCCCGCTGACAGTGACCGTGCAACACACCCAGCTGCGTGTCCAGAACACTCCCAAAAGACAGTGGAGCCAGGTCATTACGTGAAATACAAAAGCTTCTTTTCTCATACGTAACACAAAGCAAA